TGATCGAAACGCTTTCTTTTCATCAAATGAAACGAGTGAGTTCATCACGATCAAGTCCACAAGCTGATCATCGACCGCAGCTTTGTCAAAAGTGCGCTGCTTTACAAAACGTTCAAAACCAAACGCAAGTAACTTCGTTTGCTTGGAATCCATTGCAGCCACTGAAGCCTCGTCGTCTCCTCCGGAATATTCGTCACGATGGTACCGTTTAAGATGGCGGCGAAAAGTGGTGTGTGCAATTGATGACCATCGACAAGCTGAGTCTGTAGGGCACAGCAAGCAGGTATAGGAACCTTCATCGTTCTCACGAATGAAAGACCAAATGTCGGAACGCTTGTGACTGTGAGATCGCCGATATCCACTCGATGAAGTGTTTGCGTTCGACGAAATGTTTGTGCTCGACTCGTCATGAGCGTCCATTGATTCTACTTATGTGGTATCTTGCCTACGTAGTAAAGCCAAAGTAGAGAAGTGAAATCAGCTCATTACCGTTCGGCGTGCAGCCTTAGTCTGTCCCACGGAGGTAGCTTCTCGACAGGAATTTGGTGCAGGTGCAACTACCGATCCGATCCGATCGGATCCGATCGGATCGAATCAAGCCATACAAATTCCAAGTATAAAAAATTCAATCACACACAGATCATGGCGCAAAATTCCAACCTCAACGAAGGGAAGTTCGGTCCCAGAAGTGGCGAGCCAATGCCGTGATGTGCTGGTAGACACTGCCAGGGAGAGGTATCACACTTGGACTTGAGCTTCGAGGAGCGGATAGTTCGGGCGGTGAAGTGGTAAGCGGTGGGGCGTACCACGACGGACAGCGCGGCAATGATCTTGATTCAAGTACATGTACAAGTCGCCAATCAAGACTCTTGATGAGCGACTTGTACATGTTCGGCTCGCCATGGACAGCTTCACAGCGGGACGTGGAAGTTCCCGGGCACTTCGATGAGCTGGGTGGTGCTCAACAACAAGCAGGCAGAAGTGCTGGTACGACGTGGCTACAGCGTTGCAGGCGTGTCGCCGACGCTGTTGGATATATGCTCATTAATTTTCCGCCGGAGTCTGCAGTGGGCTAGCCGCAGACGTAATCGGTGGCGTAGTTTTCGGATGTGTTCCGGGAGTCTCTATTGCTGGTATTCCGCGATAAACGAGATGCTGCACTGAATATACGGAAGGTGCGTCTGCTGACGATTTCATGACGGCGTCCCGACGGGTAGCGTAGAGCAACACACAATAAAATTCGTCACTTTCCTCTGCCTTAGGCTCCTACGAAAAACACTTCCTAGCAGAAAACTTCTTGCTAGGACTCCTGCTGCAGGAAAACTCATCCTGGAGACGAACAACACGTACGGTACGACAATATGACCTCAAATATTTAATGCAGAACGTCTTAAATCGTTTCATAGAATCGTAAAGGTTTTAAATGTCATTGGGTAGACTCTATACCTACAAGAACGTATTTCTTGTGAATCCCAGCACAAGGGACTATATCATTTTTTGTGTTTCTCCTAGAATCTTGTACATTTTTGATTGGATCCGATCGATCGATCAATCGGATTCAATCGAACCTCGATCGGATTAGTCAGACGAGACATATCGATTGATCCGATTCAATCCATTTCCCAAGCCTATAAGTTACTACTGTGTAAAAAAACTGTGTAACCTCGCGACACTTTGGTGGCACAGTATTAGTAGTGCGACAGCACCTGACGACAGTTTGCTGGTGGATAATGCAATGCACTCGTTTGGTTAGCTGGTGGATTCTCCACGCGGTGACAAACATGGCCAACAAATAAAAAGTTCAAGTTGGTCCGCCCCCGTTGGCAGCAATGGAAAGCCTCCCCGAAATTTGGCGTCGCCAAGTTCGTGCTGTCGAATTCGAAGTTCGTCTCAGGAAAACCAGCACACGACGTCCGGTTCCTGCGCCGCTACCATTTTACTGATGTCGCAGTTGAGCAACAAGCGGTGAATTTTTGAGGCAACACAATACACATGTCTGAAGCAAACGATTGTCTTCATTTCGACAATGTCGCGGTACAGTGGTAGAACTGCAATTCGGATTGCTACAAGTTGCATTACAACCGTAGTTGCCTTGTGCCTTGACTCACGTCGATGTGCCAAACGCGAAAGCAACTTTTGCGAATGTCGTCTACCGGTATTACCATTCTTGAGGTGGTGAAAACTGTGGAGGCTGTTCGCCTTGAGAGTCTCTCTGAACAAACAGACATGTTTGTCACAACAGACATGCAACAAATAGCCATTGCCCATGTTCCCGCAATACTTGTGCGAAATGACAAAAGGATTCGAGCGAAAATAGTAACCCAGATTCCAAGAATCTAGCCTTGCAGCTGTCCGCTCGGGCGCCAAAATGAATCCTGCCAGTTTACCATCCTGGAGATGTTCGATGCAAAGCCCAAGCGTCGAAGAAGGCTGTCCCGGCCCGGGACTCCCGGGCCAATCCTGTTGATGATCAACTTGATCCCCTCTCGATTTGCCCCTTCATCCATAGTATGGACCATACTGAGCTGTAGTATAAACAGCCGATGTTAGTTCTCGGACAAAAAAGCGCAAGGTGCGCGAGACACCTCGTGTGCCACGGCTGTGCTCTGTCGACCCCATTCTCCATCTTGCCGACCGAAACGCAGGGGAACTTCACCGTCACTTTGGTGACGGTATCCGTATTCCAATTATGAGCCACCGATTTCCAATCCAGGAGACGGTCTTCCCGCCACTACAACTTTCCGAGTCTGCTAAGGACAAATTCGTCAACACAGCGTTGATGCAGCTTACAAGGTCGTTGCGCGATTACGATAAGTACCAGAAATGGCAAGCGTCTCGACCGCCGAGTCTTCGGTATCAGCTTCATCCAGCCATGTGGAAGCCTATTAAGACATCCGAACAGCTCACAGTTTACCGTCGAGTGCCGGCGGACGACGCGATAGTCACAGCACCAACAGGAGGATCAAGGAGGCGAGCACGTAGTAGAACGCTAGAAGCCATGAGATTGGCCACAGAAACAGGTGTGGACTTGGTCTCTTCGGCTCCGAAGGAATTCGTCACAGATTCATCCTGGCCCGGACTTCCGAATCGAGGGTCCGGACCAACGGGTAGTAGTGAGTGGAGTATGCCGACACTTCTCCAAGTTGGAACTATCGAGGGCACTCTGAACGACGTCATGTACGGATCAGCTTCGTTTGATGCAGTTGGGACGTTGATCAAGTCGTCCTATACAGGTGAAGAGGTTGTGGACGCCGAGACTTTATATGAACTCCAGGGTCCCACTCCGGAAGAGCCATTCCGGTTCCTTGGCATCAAGTGGGTCGTCAAATCGACCTCGTCCACTGTGAAGGCGTTTGTATGGCCACGGGACCTAACGTTTATCGCAGCGACAGGTGTAATAACTCGTCAAGGTGGCGAACGGGTAGGGTACCATCTGATGCACTCAGTGGATCTCGGTAAAGGTTACGGTCCTCTCGAAGGAAAGCGGATCGTGCGTGGTCGAATCTCGTCGTGTTATCTCTATCGCCAGACATCCTCGAACATTGTGGATGTGTACATGAAGACCAATTTTGAGCCGAACGGGTCAATTCATGAAAATGTTGCTCTACTCTCAGCTGCGAACAGTCTTACGTACTGCTCGAAGTCGTCACTATGCGCTCAAAACAAGAAATTGTCGTGGTTATTGGCCCACCCAAAGGTTGACGACACAGAAGCGGGGTCAGCACGACCGAGTACTATCCGGATAAAGAAACGCAATGACTGTGGCGTTTGCACACGACCGATCGGTACATTCACACGACAGCATTCGTGTCGTGTTTGCAATGCTCGTGCGTGTTCAACTTGCTTCGTGAAAAAGAAATTAAGTTTCCCAGGTCAAGGACACAAGACTGTGGAACAGCGTTCAGTTGCTATTTGCACGCACTGTCTCACTCACGCTCGGAAACTCAGCTCATTGGAGATCGCGGGAAAGGAAGTGGTAGAGCGGCAACAGATGAACAAACGACGTGGCACTCTTCGAGGAAGAGGAATGTCGACGCGCACCGTTCGAAGTCGAAGCAATAGTCGTCCGGATATCCGCCGGCATCGACGTGGGACTGTCACGGCAAGTGAACGAGAGCAGGAGGAGCTCGAAAATGAGAAGATATTCCACACTGCGCCCGTTCGAAGGATAATTCGAACGCCACGCCAGTCAAACGCTCAGAGGAAGTTGGACTCGAATTCGAAACCAGCTTGGGATTATAACTCTGAGACTGAGGACATTGGCAATGATACTGACACTGTGGTGAGCTCCAACGCGATTTTGTTGCCTTTGGACTCGGAGCCACATAAGAAGACCGTCTTTATGCAACATTTAGGCAACGAAACCGAGATATCCGTCGTGGCTCATCCGGACGTGTGGGACGTCGACTCGGATGCGGACGATGAAGTCGATTATGTGGTGAATTCCCAGGAGGTGCCGATGCTTGGTGATGCACTACCCGAAGCTGTGGTGCAGTACGCTTGGGGGGCAATTGTGCCGTCTCCTTCCAACAAAGAGGCGTCTGAGCCTGCCGCTCCGTGGCCGTCACCTCCATCATCACCGCTGCCGTCCCCGACCCCGTTGCCGAAGGAGAAAGAGGACTCGTGGCCTGCAGCTCAAGGAGAGCGAGCGTCGGTGTGGACGCCACCCATTTCGCAGCCAACCACGATCCCTCGTATCCATGCGGGAGCCTCGACCCAAGAAGTGTTGGCGCAGTTCGCAGAGCTCTGCAACGCCGCTGAAAATGTGTATCAAGCAGCGAGAAAAAACACCATCACACATTTGGACCCCACAGTATTGCTAACACGTCAAAACAACACCAGACTTGACATGAGCGCCGTAGACTAAGAAAAGTATCACTCTACAAGTACTACGACTATGAGGGCTTGAAGGTATTAAACTACCGAAAGTAAGCATGCAACAAACTTTAACATGTTTTGCCAATCAAATTAAAAACTCATTTTTTATTTGTTTTTCATGATTCCTTTGCAATAAATGTCAGCCCACACTGCCGTGTGTCTTCCGGACCCTAGGATGGCTGCTTACACCTGGTAAGCCTGAAGGGTGGCAGGGGCGCCGAAGTGCACCTGGTCGCACTTAAGCTGCACGCCCATTTGACGGATGGCACTGGCACTGCGCACGCAGCCCATGATACGGTCCTCCTTTGACGAGCCCGCAATGTCCAGACGCTCACGGACTTGCATGCGCACACGAGCCACGCGCTGCGCGACCCAGATCAAGCAGAACACGAAGAGCGCGAGGAACACAACGAACGAAGTGACATTGCCGCGGAACAGGTTGACCAACGTCAAAATCAGAAAGAGGAAACGGCCGGTGTACGCAATAAAGTCGAGAGAAAACCCGAGGCCGCATGAGTTGAGTCCCAGACGCGTTTCAAGCTGAGACAGCGGACCACACGGGCAGCAGCACACCCACCAGTAGTAGGCGGTGCGCAGGTCGGCGTCGTGTAGATTCACGGTCCAAGCATTCATGCGCAGACCGTTGGGGTCGAAGTCCGCGCCGGATCCGATGGGCGTCAGTGTCTTGTTGTCGGGCGTCAGCACAGTCACGTACTCGTTGCTGGGGCTCTCGCCCACGAAGCCCGGATCGTTCACGGGCGTGGGCAGCGGGAGCTTCGTCTGCGTAGTCTGCTTCTTTTCCGCCATGGTGGTTGATGTCTTATCACTGAAGGCAAAAATGGAACCTGGGCGTGTTTCCGTGCTCTTGCCAGTGTATGTCGAAATGATGGCGAAGCAGATTACGGGAGACGACGGGTTCATTTCCATGGGTGATGCCGGGTGACGCGACACTTTACTACACTGGGTAATATCCCGCACAATTCGAAAGATCGATTTGGACAGGGTCATGTAAATGAGCGCTGAGAAGAACTGCAGCAAGGAATAAGTCAACGTTGGAAAAGATTGGCGACCCTTCTTCAATGAGGGCGTTGATTTGCAATTGCACCACTGCAGCTGCAGTTTGCAGGGACGGTTTCGTGTCCAACACACTTTTAAGCTTTATAAAATTTACACGTACTACCTGTGCACTGAACTAGCAGTGCTTGTCTAGCACAGCGCGTGTTTGTACTAGCAGCAGTCTGCTCCTAGCGAACTCTGCTAGTGTCACTATGAGTCAACTGACTCAGCTGCATTGAATCGATTCTTGAAATAGTGGTTGACAGAATATTGCTATAGCAGAATTTGTTTTATTAAGGGCTCACACGTCACATGTTATACACGTGAACTCGCCAGAAACAAGCATGAGCTCACCTTCCCAGTTATCACAGTCCCAGCTCGTGGCGCGACTACGCGACCTACTGGCCCATGATGCCTCGCCGTGATGCCCTGCTGCTTCGACGGGCTCAGTGCCAAACTAATCGAGCGTGCGGGCTTCGATGTGGCCTTTATGACGGGCTTCGGCGTCTCCGCCGTGCATGGTCTGCCGGATACGCAGCTCTTGTCGTTCGGCGAGATGGTCCGCAGCGCCAGCACTGTTTGTGAGTCGCTGCGCAATGTGCCGTGCATCGGAGACGGTGACACGGGCTACGGCAACGCCATAAACGTGAAGCGAACCGTCCGCGCGTACGCACAGGCTGGTATGGCCGGCATCATGTTGGAGGACCAAGTGGCCCCCAAGCGATGCGGACACACGGCCGGCAAAGCTGTCGTCACTCGAGAAGAAGCTTTTGCACGTGTACGTGCGGCAGTGGATGCCCGTACGGAAGGTCAGCTCGACATTGTCATCATGGCAAGGACGGACGCTCGCGGGACTCACTCACTGGACGAAGCCATTGCGCGCTGCAACGAATTCGCGCGACTTGGAGCGGATATCACTTTTCTCGAAGCTCCACAGTCTGTAGACGAGATGAAACAGTACTGTAGAGAGGTGCCAGGCCCTAAAATGGCCAATATGGTCGAGAACGGCCTCACGCCGGTGTTGTTGCCGGAACAGCTGGGCGAAGTGGGCTACAAACTGGCGGCGTATCCGATTACACTGTTAAGTGCCAGTATCAAGGCAATGGAAGATGCACTGAGACTGCTTAAGTGTCAAACTGGTGGTGAGAAGCAGGAAGATACGGGAAACAACGCAACTCCGAACGCTGAATTGAACAAACTACTGTGTGACTTTGCACATGTCAAGGATGTCGTGGGCTTTACAGAGTACTACGCAGAGGAAGCACGGTACAAGCAGTGAAAAGAGTAGAAAGACGCAATTCGGAATAAAACGACCCATTGCAGTACGATCTAATCAAGTACTTCGTAGTAGCATGCGACACCAAAATTGACGCAGGAAAACAGGACACACAACTTCATCAGACCGTGCAGCTTTCTCATAGCGTAGCTTGCGGTACTGCACCATCTACCTCTACTGCCCCTACCAAGACGAGCTATGTTGCCAAGCTGTTCTCGCCGAATCTCATCCGACAACTACTGACAGCAATCGTTGTGGCTGGAGCTCAGCAACTCACGGACATCAACGCCGTCTTCTTCTTCTCGTCCTCCAGGCTGGCATCTCCGACGACCGCATTGGGATCGTTGTGGTCAACTTTGTCAACGTACTGCCGACCATGTTCTGTGGTATGTTGGCAGCTCGCCTTGGCAATCGCAAACTATCTTGTACGGATTAACGGGTATCTTTATCCGTGCAGTTGGTATCGCTGTGTCCCAAGTTGCTTGCTTGCCAGCGCTTGCCATCGTATTCACCGCCTGATATGTCGCCACATTCGATTCGTCTCGGGTCACTGACTTGAGTGGTCAAGGCGGATCTCTTTCCAGACGACGTTCGAGCAATGGGCAACTCAATGTGTGTGGGCTGTGTAATCTCGCGGTGGGTCTATGTTATCCCTACATCGCCGCTGGATTGGTCAACTTCACCATTCATGTGCACAGTTCTAGTACAGTACCAGACACGTCGGGCAAGGCGATGCAGGAGATCCACGACGAGTTCACTGCGCGGCGTTTGTCGAAGAACGGACGGGCTCCAAGGGCGAAGCTTCGTGAGCTTAGGAATCTATGCGAACTCGTTAGATGAAAGCGATGGATCAATAAATAAAAACACGGTATCGAACTGAAGGGGTACATTCACTACCGGAGACGAGTTGAGGTGCAGCGTAGTCTTGCTTGATCCAAGTCTTGGCGAGGTATACGTTTTCTTCACCATAAAGACGCGCGAGCTCTCGCTCCACGTGCTGCTGCTCCCCCATCATGAGCAACCACGTCGGACTTTCAACCAAAACGAAAGACGCGAGTACTAGGAACAGAGCTGCCAGTACGACAGGTAACCCTGCAATGAAGCGCCACCCGCTACTCGTACCGAGGAAGAAAAATGTGACGGCTACCAGAAGGTTGCCGACCGTAATAGCGATCTGGAATCCTATACGGAGGCTGTTGTGAAGACTTGGAGGTGAAATTTCACTAATGAAGCCAGGAATGACAGCAGTGGCCCCACCTGATGCAGCACCGGAAATCACTCGACCACCAATGAACATCCAGATGCTCGAAGCAGCTTGCAGTGCTGCCCCGGCAATCATGAACAGGCAGTTGGTCATCATGGTTCGTTTTCGACCGAACTTATTGGAGAGTCCGATCACTAGCGCACCGACCACGCCGCCCAATATTCAGGCACAACGGTCATTATTGTCCTTTGCCGGGAACATGAGGCAGGTGCCGGACTCGACGGGTCTAGTATCGCATTCGTGTTGGCTATTAAATATCGTAAGGCTCAGCTGTGTACAGTAGTAGACCATCCGTACTGGTGTGTACTACAGGCCAGTTACATGCATCCTTCACAGGCAAAAAAATATTGGCAGATGCTACTGTCCATGCGCCGACTGTATGCTTTTACCATGCAGTATTGAGTCCACGTATAACCCATAAATCACCCGTGCATTAGGCATGAGCACGAACACAGGTAACGTTATTATAGTCCATGTATCGAGTCCATGCATTGGTCAGATATCCTCCGATGGGTTATTTAGATCTACCATGGAGCACTAGCTGAAGCATGTGAAAGCGCAATATCGTGAGACCTTTTGGAGTTACATCCAGCGCAATGCTATTGTCTACCATTCGCCAGAGTCGTAGCATTACGAAGAAACCACAGTTGTGGCCGTCCTTCTGAATTGGCGCGTTGATGGATACAACCTCATAGTCGTCGCTCAGGGTTTTCGCCAAATCCCAGGACAGTCGATCCAGCACGGTCTTGTAAGTCCTCTGGTTCATGGAGTCATAATAAAGGACTCGAGTTCGCTTCACATCTACTGCAATTCCGCACCAGTGTGAATTTCCAACGTTAACCGGGATCATAAGGAGGTCTGCCTCTCCCACCAGCTCTTGCGCTTTTTTTCTTGAGGGATTCATTCATGCCCTTGGCATTTCGCCCCGTCACCGTGCTCTCAATCCCCAGAACACGAGCAGTAGGGTTTGTTGCACACAGTCTTGTGCAGAAAGCATCTATCAAGGCGTCGTTCGCCCAGGATGGTGGCTTCAAGCGGTATAGCATCGCGTAGTGATACTCAGTGGCCTCGATCACGATTGTGCTCTGTGGGTTCGATTTCGCCACTTGGTTTACCATGTTTTCCAACACAGGATGTTGCACTGAAGGTATGGTGCTTATCACGTTTTGAAGCAGCCAAGTGTAGAATTTGACACCGTGCTCGCATTGGTCCTTCATAGTCGACAGATAACACATTGCCTCAATATGGGCTCGTGAAAATGTTCCAGTACCTGAAATCTGAACACATTCTATCTCCAGGTTTTGTCCATGAATCTCCAGGTCTTGTCCACGTAATTGCGTGTCATCACTTTCAGCTTGCGAAGGCTGGCTCTGGGTGAAGATCTCGATTGCAGTCTCTCTTGTGCTCTTCACTGGAAGAACGGAGAGGTACTTGTCCAGCAGCTTCTTCGGGAGAAGATAGAACGCGTTGTCGTTCAGCACAGGGGCGCTCTGTCGAACATACTTCGGTTTCTTGTTACTCGCTCTATCCCACTTGGTAGGAATTGGGCTTACGCGGTCTAGCGTTTCCTGGAGTGTCGGTTTCTCCCTTTGTAAATCTTGAGCAAGCTGTACTAGAGTAACTTCCCCCATTTTTCGGCGATGCTCCTCAGACTCGTTAAACAGTGCCCGTTTCTTCTTGTCTTCGGCCTCGCGCTCTTTCGTATTTAAACGAGGTCTTCCGGTCTTTGCAGCCTTCGGGTTCAACGTGATCGACAGTTCTGTTGGTGATTTCGTGTCTTGGTCATCGCCATCAGTCTCCACGAAAGGATTCGAGTTTGTGATTTTGATACGCTTCCGCTGTCTAATGTTCGCCCACTGTTTGAGAAGAAAATCAAGATGCTCTTTGTACTCGTCCTCGTCCTCTATATCTGCCAGTTCGTTGCAGATTGCTTGTGTAGCACTGAGCGCCTGTCTGTACTTGGTCGCTGCATCGAGTGCCTTCCGCTTTGTTTGGCCAGGCTTGAATTCATTTACAACTATAGGTCTAGGCATCTGCTCTAGCTCTGCAGGAAGTAACCACCTGTACACATTCGTATCGAAGGGAATGCCAACACGACATGTTAATTACTGGACGAAACATGTACGATGCATGGATAATACATGGACATCGCCATAGGCTCAGCTACTCACCGCTCATGGATCCGACTCAATGGAATGACACTTCCGGACACCTTTTTCCACTTTCGGTAGGCGATAGCATGCTGACAGGGTAAACGCATAGCACACGCGAACGAACACGAACAGCTCCAGTATGACAAGTCCACATAATGCTCCTTGTGTTTTCCAGATACCACCACGAAGCCAGGCTTGGAGACCGTATCGTAGACGAAAACTTCGGCCTTGGACATGGTCATCAAATACTCCTTCTGAACGTGCTCTGCGACAAAGTGAGTCGTAAGCCGCAGCACTTGACACAGCTCTTCATCGTAGTTTCGGTTTACTCGCAGTCCCACGCGATTCTTGCGGAACAAATACTCACTAGACATTCGTGCGTCAGCTCCCACGAGAGCCTTGATCGTTTCAGTCATCGACATTGTGTGGGTAACCGAATCCTTAAAGTGGCCGAACCAATTCTCCAAGTGGTTGTTAGTGTGGACGCGCAGATGTGCAAGCCGAGCCCGTTTGTACATGACCCACATGTCTGTACATTCATTCCAGTTTTCATCCATGTATTCCAGAAAGCTATTGAATCGTATCTGTGCGCACAGTGTCTTCATCGACTCCCAATTCTTTGTGTATATGTCTTTATTTACGGAGTACACCATATTATGCACGAGTGTATCGATTGCATCATGATCATCTTGCGAGATCTGCCCATACTCAGGCTTTCTGGAGGCTGTGCGCAGGTACTTGATCACATGAAAGAAGCAGATCAACACACGCGCCTTGGGGAAGTACTTCTTCAGTACGCGAATCTCGTGCAAGTCTTTATCGACCATGATAACTTGCACCTTTTCGCCGATCTTATCATCTACCCGCAACAGGTGATCTAAAACACGTGACATGTGCCAGTCGGCATTTCGCTCGATGAGCGAATGTTGAATTGGCTGCCCACGACCGTTATCGTCAATGACCATCAAAGTACACAGTTGGTAGTTGTACCTAGAACACACGAGCAGATTGATATGAGATAAAGATCAATAGATGGACAATACATGGACAATACCTAGACAATACATAGATATAACCTACCGATTGGTCTTGTGAGTACAATCCACTAGCAACAACCCGGGGAAGCGTACGGTCATGTCTCGCTGGTGCCTCAAAGTCATGCTCATGACACCGGAGTGCCCAGCGTCAGCGTCGTCCACAGTCGCCACGTTGCCATCCATCGCTGCAAACTCGGTAAGTGCTTGTGCGCAGGTATCATCATCGTCGAGTCCGCCTCGAAACTCGGCCTTGACACGCTGGACAATGTTGTCCACGTCTTTCTTAACCAGGCTTTCCCCTTTGTCGAGCAGGTACTCGTAAATACGAGCGCGCTTGCGACCGTACTTCACCATTTCGCGCACGGTGGACCTTGTCTCAGAATCCTCCAACTTTCGGTTCTCTGCGTAAGTTTTGAAGTGGGCGGTACCCACGACGTGGATGTGGTGGTAAACCCCGTTCTTCACTCGAAGCAGCCACTGGCCCTCCTCTTCCACGACTTGAACTACGAACCGAAAAGGACACCCAGTGCCACGAACAAACTGCTTCGGCCGCACACCTGTGCTCCGATCCTTCGTCCGCCACCCATGCGTACAAATATATGTGCGCTGGTACGTTGCCCACTGGGTCGGAACGTATTGTACGTCAAGACCTTCTCGTGCATCGACAGTTTTAGCCAACCGCTTGTTCCGCAAGTCGCAGCTCACAGTCATGGAAACTTGGATGATCTGCCGTTGAAGATGCGTACTTCTTCAAATAGACCGCCCAGTCGGCCCAGCTTGAGTGAAGGGCTTCCGGGGCACAAACAGGCACTGGACAATCTGAAACCTGGACGCTGCATGGACGTTCCGCATTGTCGGTGCCCGACTCGTCGGAAATCTCAGAGCCTTCTGCAGAGTTCGTAGGAGCGGAAGGAGCAGCATCTGACGCCTCTTCGCTCGAGCTAGCCTGTTGAGGGCACGTAGTTAGCAAAACCGACATACGTATGAGATCAGGTAGTTATGCAACGCACCTCTGGCTGACCTGTCGCGGTTTCTGAGGCCGGTGATGGCGGCGTCGGCAGTGAAGAGGGCGCGGGAGGCTCCAGTGGGGGAGTTTCAGACTTGCTATCCGACATATCGGAGCGGGGGAGGGCGGCAACGACGTGCACAGCGACGACGGTACCGGAAGCTCCGGCTTATCGAAAGTGAAGTGAGTGGCTGTGGTAGCCCTCAAAATCGTTGAGAAGCATGCATGCATAATACATGTATTTTACACAACCCGTAATTTATAATTTTCAGGTCGGTAATTTTACAGCCTGGACAATACAATACTGTACATGGATGGCCACCTGGACAATTCATATACTCAGCGCATGGACGATAGCATTTACGAAAAATATTACCGGTATCGCAAAAAGTACACTAATAGCTGCTTCAATCCGTCTTGACTGTCAAAGGTACAGTATACGTAAATTTGAATTTGGCAAATTGGCTATACTGATACCACAGTCCAGGGTCTAGTAGCTAGACTCTAGTTGGTAAGTAGCTTTGTAGGCTAGTACCACAGAGCCTTGTTCCAGAACAAACTCTTAGCGCTGGCGAGGTCATCGTCCGAAGCCGTGAAAGTGTCGTTGAACACGATCTGAGTGCCCGTGCTCGACTCGTTGTACTGCGGCCAGTAGATCTTGTCGTCGGCCCACATGGAGTTCGGATTGCCGGTGAGCACGAAGGAGAGAAGGAACTTCTGCATCATGACGGCGATCGTAGCATTCACTGACGAGCTGCCACCCATGCTACCGGCACCACCCGGACCGCCAGTGGAGCTACCGTCCGTCATTCCCATACCGCCAGTATCACCTACAGAGGCCGTTGAAGCACCGGATGAAGCCGTCGAGATCGCCGTCGTACTGTCCGACGAGCTACTCGACGACGTCGACAGCGTGTACGTGCTGTACCAGTAGTAGCTTTGATCAGTACCGTGTGTGGCTGAACCGAGAGCAACCTCGGCGTTCCACGTCTGGTTATTCAGGGCGTGCGTCAAGGCCAGGTTCTTGCCGGTCAGATCGAACGACTGCTTCATGTCGGCGAAGCGAAGACCAGCACTCTCGTAGTCGTTCTCCGGGTACAGCTCCAGCAGCTCCTCGATCACATCGTCCGTTATTGCGGGGAAGAAGATGCGTAGATACGTCGACACATCCTCCTGGGTGTCGATGCCGCTGTAAGCCTGCGAGTTGGCCTCGTGCTGCTCATGCGAGATCACACACGGACCCGAAAAGTTGAAATGTCCCTGGTACACGTTAGCTTCGTACGTGTCCGGGATGATGAAGCCATCCACACGGGGCTGCATCTGGTACGTGTACGTGTCCACTACGTCATCGGACGCGCTGGTGAGCGTCGAGAAGTTGACTGCACGCATACAGTCCCGTCGCAACCAACTGCAGACGACACGTTCTGCCAGAACTGCTCACCATGGTGGTGACCGGCACCAGGAACGTAGCCCGGAGACACGACGTACGCCTTGTGGAAGAGAGAAGGCGCGTTGCCACCGAAGCGAGTCATCTGGAACAGAACCTGAGACCCGCCGGCCGAGACACCCATGGCCGTCACGTCGTCGGGGTTGCCTCCGAACTTGCTGATGTACTTCTGCACCCACTCGAACGCGTGCTGCGAGTCCCAGACGCACAAGTTGGCATCGCCGCCCTCGTGTTGGTACGTGGGTCCCGTGGCCAGACCCGTGATGCCGAGGCGGTAATTGTAGGCCACGAAGATGAAGTCCGTGGACAGGTCGAAGAGACCCTCAGGCGTGTTCTGCGACTTGGAGCCGCCCGTGAAGCCACCACCGTACGTCCACAATACTACGGGCAGGTTGCGTCCGACAGCGTCGGCAGGGGCCCATACATCCAGGTACAAGCAGTCTTCCTCAGGTGAGCAGTCGATGTCAGCGTCGGCGAGATTGGTGCCGGTATTGGTTTCTATCTCGACGTCGGGCCACTCGGGCGCGGCAAAGCGGAGGTCACCAGTCGGCACCTTGGCGAATCGAATGTTCTGGTACTTGTAGTATCCGACGGTGGTATTTCCTCCAACGGCTTGAATAGTAGTGTAGTCGAGCTCAACAGTTGGAAGCGAAGAGGACGACGAGCCACTGGTGGTAGTTGTGGTAGATTGGCTGCTAGACGTGGTGCTGTCAACTGCACTCTGCACTGTTCCAAACGCGTTTGTGCTGCTTCCGGCCATCGCGGAGGCCACAACAGTAGCGGAGGTCATCAGGAGGGCATACACTCGCATGGTGAATGGAGTGGTGTGCTAGGTTTTCGGGAGTTGATGCTCAAAGGCGGGGAAATTGAAAAGTGAGTGGGGCGGCTGAGGCAGCGATGACTCCGCCACATGTACTTGTGATCTACTTGGTACAGACGGGATGGCGCACGGGTTTCCGGTATTGTCAAGAGCGGGGGGGGTCGTGTTCAACAGCGACTATTACAGAGAATCATGTGCATTGCGATTTTTGCAGTCTGAACAGTACTGTACGCTAGAAAGTGGACAAGCAACACGACGCGAATAATCAGATGGATAACACGATTACTCCCCCAGTGGTTTCAACATCCGTTGCAAATCCGTTGCGCCGGATTTTCGCGTGATGCGTACGATCGATCCGGTAGGGTTAATAGCCAACTATTCAACTCCTAGAGCATGTCCAACGAAGGGACAGGATGGCTCACACCGATCTCATGTGGAACGTTTTGGTACTCTGGCTTTGTGCAAATAACATGGAAATGGGCAAGCATGGAAACAAATTTGACCGCCGGAACAAGTGGGCACCGCAAAGCAAGAGAATAAGAGGCTATGCTACTCGGAGCTTATCGGCTGGAGCATGATACGTGTAGCAATAAAAAATGATGCATAGCTGATATACCTCGCCTCAGATCTCTGGAGTTGAATCCAGAGCTTCTTCAGGGACAGCGCTCGACCAAAGAAAAGCTCTAACTTTTATGTGATTAGTTAGTAATAACTTGCACCTGAAGAGCACTCAAGTCTTCTACAACTTGGTAAACATGTCACTACAGTATATCACAGAAAAATGTGATGGTATTCTCTCTTTGAACGAATTCGTGCGTACCCATATGTAAATGAATGCACCACTTTTGAGCGTTTTAAAAGGAGGAACGGTAGCGATTGTTTGGAGCTCACCCATTGCGTTACTTTAGCTTCAAAAGAGAGGTTTTTCACCCAGTATTCTTCAAGCAACAGTCACGGGGTGAGTGGGTTTTGACGTTACCCGTGGCCACCGCAGGCAACATTCTTCTGTGTTTTGTTATGTCCACCGGATATTGGTTATAAGAGGTCAAACGATCTATTTTCAGTACGAATTGGGGTGAAATTTTTGTCGTTACAATTTGGGCTACCAAACTACCGCGTCACAGGCCGATTGTTCGTTCGGCTTGAGCTCCATTGGAAGGGTGGTAGTTGGATACCCGTCACTGTAGCGTTGCCAGGGTAGTGGCCCCACTCACCATCTTGGCGGCGAAGGTGGAGACTGAGTCTTTGCACAGGCGCGTAAAGCGTTTGAGCGCGTCCGACGACCCGCGGTCGTGAAACTGGATGGTCAGCGAGTCCACACCGGCTCGGTGCATGTTCGTGACTCCGCCGGCCCTGAGAGAATGCGTGCTGTACTGTCGAGGATCATTACCCAGGCTGGCGGTCGCACCTTGCATTGCCTTGGAGACGCGGGCCGCCATCACCCAGCGGGTCCTCTTGTTCTTATCCAGGAACACGGCTGCCGGTATTGCTGGCGGCAAGCTACCCCTAGATCGAAGGAGCAGCAGCGCCCTAAAACTGAGCACAAGAACGGGTGTCCCGATCGTGACCGGTGGGCCGTTCTGATTAGTCTTGGAGCCTCTGAGTCGAATGCAAACTGCCAATGCCGTCCTGGGATCCACTGTGGTTGCTCCTTCTGCGTTGACCACGGCAATGTCTGCTGCCGTAAGGGCAAACCAGCGAAATGTCGTAGATGTAGTGACTGCAATTTCTGACCGGCGCAGAACGAAAGAGAAGGTCAGGCTCAGACCCCCTCCCATGTAACTTGATCCACAGGGCCCTGAAAGAAGAGGGACCGGAGGCACTCCTCGAGCAGCGCGACGGACACTGGAGATTTTTGTTGCGAGGGGGTGTCGCGTCTGCGCACCCCGCGCAGGAGCATGCGGACCTGAGGATAATCTGCTGGGAAGTTGTGCCCGGCGTCGTTAAGAAAATGGCGAATGTCATGAAGCGCGGACTTAATTGTAGAGCTCAGGACAGGTCTGTTTGATCCGAGGCCGCGTTCGCGAGCGTCGATGATGAAATCAGAGATAGTACGCACTTGCTCGTCTATATCAAGAAGGCGGTTCCAGAGGATGCCTTGCCGATGGGTCCACTGCTTCCAGTAGCTGAAGTAACGGGCGTAGGATTGGAGGGTGGAGGCGGCAGCGGAGTGTTCGCGGAGATGTCTAGCCACGTTGTCTCGTGATCCGCTATGGACGACGGGGTCGATGCCTGTGACCAACCACGGGCTAGCTTGGTGAACAGCAGGGCGTGAGAGTCACCGCCCCACCGACATGATCATGCGTCGGATGTGGTGTTTTCGGACTCGGAAATGTGTGACGCTGTGAAACGCAGGCCAAATTGGAGCTCCCAGGTGCCGAGGAGGCGGATCAAGAGCTGTGCGCAAGTGTTCCGCGAAGCCGTACTCGACTGCCACGAGACGGCGGTGGTATTTTCAATGCGAAAAAATGAGCATGAAAATGAGACTTGCCTGACGCGCCACAGGGGAGGGCACGTTTTGGCCGCGAACGCGCATACTAGAAGCTTCCGATAGCTGATGTCAAACTCGTTAGTCGAGGCGAGGTGTAAGCTTCTGATGAGGCTTCGCTCGGAGGGGGGGGGGTATGTGCGGTGCAAGCGCCGCGACGGAACGATTGCGCAAATCCCGGTGTCGGGTGCATCCATTAAGACGGTGACGTCGGGGGATGGACTTGAATTGAAGTACTCGAGGAAGACGCCGCTGAGCGATGGAGAGCGGAGAATGTGCCACCACCAGAGGAGGTCATCGCGCATCCTCGAAGACAATGCGATGCGATTGGCGCGCTGGTTGGCGCGTTCGCCGGAGCGTAGACGTTGTAAGAGCATGCGTGCGGGTCTTACGCACATGGCGGCATGGCGAAGGGTCCCCAAAAGTGAGCGGTACTTGGTACGAGAGAGGCTGGTTGCGTGAAAGACTTTCGCTACTAGAAGTTTCGCCTTCCAAAATGTTTGACGTTGGTATAGCAACAGTGCCGGAGTCTGTGTCGAAGACGAGACCCAGCACCTTGAGCCTGGAGCTCCTTGACGTGAACTTGTCGTCGTTAACCGCGGTAGGGCCCATCACAACAGTCATAGCGTGGCGCAGTGAACCTTCAATGTCATCGCAGCTCGTTCCGGAGTCGGGTGCGACGTTTACGTGATCATCGACCCAGTGGTAGTTATAAAACCTGGTGGGGTATGCGGCATTTGTGCACGATCCGTGTATGAATGCCACCGCACCGCCCAAGATGCTGTACGCTGCGGAGCTACCGGTCCACCCAAACGCGAACGAGAGGTCGATGGCGATCGCGTTGTTATCGAGGATGTGACCCGCAAACAAGAACACGCACTTGCTGTGAGAGCACGCATTACGGTAGGCGGACGCGACGTCGCCGGCCATTAACTGGACGGTCTTGTCTGGGGATAAACGGCGACACCGGATGATTTCCTATGAAACGCTTGAGCAGTGCTCGAATGATGCAGACGGGATGTCGTCCGCATTAGTGTGGGAGCTGAACGAATCTCCCCCGGGAAAAGAGAGGTCGTGGATAACACTACCCGAGACGCGTAGCTCGCCGTCGTCTTTGTCGGCCATGCCGAAGGGGCAGATGAATAGCTCCGGCCAAATCATTTTGATGTCTGCGTCTACAACGGTATAGCGAAGGCATCCTGTTCTTTCCTTATGTCGGCTCGTAAAACATGGATGCGTTGCGGAGCGGACGGGTGGTTGCGGGGAGCGATCGCTGTGGAGGAGGTGGGGAGGTGAGGCGCACGCGGGAACCCTCGACAGCGATTCGCAGGAGATCGTCGACATGATCATATCCTTGGCAATACGCCCGCAGAGTGTCAGGCGGTAGTGCTTTATTGAGCCGATAGGCTGTGGGTGACTGGCAGCGAATTTATTTAGTGAACTGTTTGAGGGGCATTTGTGTGCGCCGGATAAACGCAGAAATTACGTGTTGCATTAGTTTTGCGAGCATGTCGCGGCTGGGTGCCGATTCTACGGGAATGGCAGTGTGCCTGACGGGAAAGTGCATGTTGACTTTGCGGAATGCAGTGGAGAGGGACGCGTCGTGGAAGGATCTCGCGCGCTAGAGACCTGAGACGCGAATCCGTGTCAGCGTGACGGCGATGGGCGTAGAGCTTGTTTGTTCCCTTAGGTTGGGCGCTAAAAGACTGCAGCACAGGAAAGCGTGGGGGGGCGAGTACGCGGATGAATGCCGGCCAGCCGTAATGCTGTGGCTGTCATCGGAAGGCGCGTGTGTGATTAGAGTAAGTAGGAGCTG